CTAAACCCTAAACCCAAGCCACAAAGAGAAGCCTGACCGTCACCTGAGACTTCTTGGAGCTGAAAATCGGTTCGCGAGCATAGCATCGTGTGAGGCCCCAAGACTTAAACCCTAAAACGCTACGGTTTAGGGTTTAGGTAGGGCTTGCAGTATAGTATTTGTCTTCAATGAGCAGAAGATATTCGGCTCGCGGAGTTGTGGGCTTCAGGCTTGAAAGGCCTTGTCATTTGCGTTCTGAAGGGTTTCGGCAGTTGTTGGTTGTAGGGTTTCCGTGGTTACAGTGCAGTCGATTTTCCTTTAAGGGTTACAGGGCTTCATGCTTGAGGGTTGTTCAAAGCACGGCTTCTTCAGCGCTAAACCCTAAACCCTAATTCTAGTTCGGCGAAACGTGGCAAACATCCGCAAGCCATTTCAAAATCACAGCCCCCTCTGCGATACAGCTCGGCGAGATACTGAGCCCTGAGTTTGGTGTGGTGTTAGATTATGGCCTGCGCCATCTTTGCCACCCTTTCCGGCCTCATCAGCCTCGGGTTCATCAGCTTTGCCGTTTATCTTCAAGCTGTACCCTGCTCCTGGGATCTTCTTAGAAATCTGGGTTTAGGGTTTAGGGTTTAGGGTTTAGGGTTTAGGGGTGACAAATCATAGGATGGTGTAGGTTTTGGGGTTGGGGTTTGGTTTAGGGTTTGTGTCAGCCAGAGGCTCCCGTGTTGTTGAGGTGTTTACTGCTTTGGGGCTTTGGGGGACATGGATTTGTAGGGGCGTCGGTGTGTAGGTTTGGGGTAGGGTTTTTATCTCTTGTGAGGGTGATGTTTCTTTGGGTTTGCGGGAAAATACAAGTCTAGGGCTGAATAGATTTTAGGGCTGAGGTCTAGCATAAACTGCATGGATGCCAATACCCACGGCCTAGTTCGAGTTGCAGAGTCTTTCTAGGCCCTCTGGACACATGCTTTCTCATCGAGGGCGAGGATACCTTCACCTTCACACACTACGGTGGGGAATTAGGCAGGGGGGGTATAGTCTGGTATGCGCCGGCTGGTATGACCCCGTCAGATTTTGCGGAGCAGCTGAGCTTCCAAAATCTAACTGATGAGCTTCAGATGGGTGAAAGCTGCGGGTTTGTTCACGAGCCCGGCAGGCAGCGATTTGGATTGGCTCGCGTAGGGTTCTTCGCGTGTGCCTGTGACGACGGTACCTGGCGAACCTGTGACAGTGCCCGACTTCATGGATCTGGGAATTACATCCCGCCCCATCGTTTCGTCAGCGGCGTCCAGGTTTGGATCTGGGATGAGGAAAAAGAGTATATCACGCACCATGTTGACGGACTCTTGTCCTTCTTGACGGGAGCATTGGTGGTGGGTGGGGTGATCTTCTTCTTGCTGGGAGCATGTTGCCTCTGCGCAGCCTGTTGGAGCTGTGCTGCCGAGCGGCGCAAATCGGAGATCCCAGAGCCTGTTGCTGTGGGGTCGTCAGATGCGGCCAGCTAGCCCTAGGCTGAGATACGAAGAAGCTGTGAGTTAGCAGTTGGGCAGAGAAACTTATCTAGTTTCTAGGCTGTTGCATGCTATACTCCCAGGCTCAAATTAACGTTTAAACTTCTTTCAGGTCATGAACTAGCACTATGAGGTGAGTGACCGCAAAAGGTCATACAAGTCTGACCGTCCTCTGACAAGTGAGGTACTAGTCCTACTCTGCAGCACCCCTGTGAAACAGGATGGTCCATGTGCCCGAATAGGACGGTGAAGTGTGGAGGGCGGCCGGGCGCCCATGGCACGGAGGTAGCACAGAAGTTCTGTTTTAAATGGGCAAAAAAGACCGTGTGCAGGGTTGAAGCCCTTTAGTCCCGATTATATTTACACTGTGGTAAAACCGCCAAAACAATAGGGGTGCAAGACCCCAAACCCTAAACCAAGGAAGGTTGGTTCCTACAGCGGGCTGTCCTTTGGGCCGAAGCCATGTAGCCTCAAGAAGCCCACGATTTCTAGGGCCCCAGCCCCCGAAGAACCCACCGGGTTTAGGGTTTAGGGTTTAGGGTTGATGACGATGAGGATATCGGCGGTGATAGCAATGCTGAAGTCTAGGAACAGAGTAGTAGTGTCGACAGTAATGATGAAGAAGGTGATTACGTTGATTACGAAGATGAGATCCACTATGATGGCACTGATGATAACGATGGTGATAGCGATGACGGCATGATAACCATGGCGATGCTGGTACCGAGGGCGAGAACGATGATGTGTGATGAGAATGATGATGCTAAGGATGGTGGAAACAATGATGACGATGATGATCACGGTGATGAGCCGCTTTCATTTGCAGTGACGAAGGGGCCATTTACAAAAGGTTGCTGCGCAGAGGCCTTCTTGTCCAGAAGTTTCTTCGTCCCACAAACCTCACCAAACTTACCCCAAACCCTCAAACCTAAACTTAGGGGTACTTCGAAATAAGTTTTAATCTTTGGCTACTATAAACCCTAAGAAGCAGCTAAAATGATAGTTTTGCTAGGGGTCTAAGTTCAGTATAGTAGGCCCCTAAACCCTCAACCCCCAACCTTCAGAGTCATCGGCCCTCCCCGCGTTTCGCCTTCTCTCATCATACCGGCTTCGCTGCCGGGCTTCAGGGATTAAGTTCAGGGTGTTTTTTTTGTTTTTTTCCGGGGGGCTGGTGCTTATTTTAGGGTACCTTGCCCATGGTTTCTTTATCGACCTCCTTAACAAGGTAGTGCCGATACTGCGTTTTGCCGACTTGTACATTATGCTGTTGTCTTTTTCCTCGAATTGACTAGTCCAATTTCTGGCAGCCGAATGTGAGGTAGGCTTTTGGGCCAGAGGTTCCTCTAACCGAAAGAGATTACATCCCAAGCCACAGCGCCAGTACGGAAAGCCCATGCAAAACCCTATCCATCAGGCCCCTTGAGCCCCCGACCAATCCACCGGAAACCGCTTAAACCCTGAGCCCTCAACCCTAAACCCTACCTTAACCCGAAAGCACCGATTTTTTCAATGACTCATACAAAGAAAATTCATGCTACGGAACCCAAAACATGTAGGTTTCTTCGGGTCGAGGTAAGCCCTAAACCGTCAATCCCAAAGCCAGACAAGCAAGGTGAGGCGCGCGGAAGCCTCGGACGCAGCGGCCGCGAGCCCACACTGTGGCTCCAGATAAGATACTGTGATTCAGTTTCTGTCTGTATTATCATTAATAGGAACATGAACATTAATATTAATATGTATACATATGTAAGGACAGATACAGATATATAGGTATATAGATAAACCGTATATAGATATATAAGTATAGATGTATAGATATTGATATCTATATGCATATACACATGCATGTACATATACATGTACATATACATGTACATGCCTATATACATTATATGTATATACAACTGGTGTTTTATACATATATATATATATATATGTATTTACATATACATATATATATATAGCCACACACACACACCTGTACATGTTTATACATATGAATATACATATGAATGTATGTATGCATGTTTAATATTTATTTACATCTATACATCAGCCTTCACATACATGCAGATATCTTCGTTTTGCATTCATTCATGTTCATCAGGTTCCTTTTCATGTACAAGGCTGCTAGATTACGTTTAATTGTCCTTGCGTGCCCTTCTAGTTAACAAGGCGCCTGCATTGCAGGTTGGTCTAGGAGTTGGGTGTACAGGGCTGAGGGCTTCGAGATCGTTCAGGGTTTTGTGATTTGAGACATTTTGTGCTTTAGGGATTGGCTGCTTACCTGGTGTAGTTCAAATATTGCACCTAGATTTCAAGGGTTATGACCCAGTCCGACAGGTAAACCTCTTTTTCACAAACCCCAAATGGGCAATCCTTCAGATTGGAAGGCTTCGCAGACTTCGTGTTTTCGCGGTCCTCCTGTCGGATCCGTATTCAAGCCCCATATGCTATGTTAAGCTCGCAAAATTGAGAGGAAGGCGTTAGCTGAGAGGTGAGCCTCCAGAGTTTACTGCAGGGGTCGGTTTAGAGTTTAGGGCAACAATATAGCACTGATATGTGTATAGGTATGTGTGTGTTATATATATATATATATATTATAGACGTGTATATGTATGTATGTTTGTATGTATACACATATATATATATATATATGTATGTATATATAATATATGTATATAGTATATACTTATATCATATTGCACTACATATTTTGCATTTTACATGTTTTCATACACCCATATTCACCCCAAGCCTTCTTCAGGCCCCGATGTTGGGATGTACGCGTCGGGTGTCGTGTCCCACTGTGGAAGGAGGCCCTAACCCAAATGAGGAGTCTGCGAAACAAAGTTCCCCCAGGGTTTAGGGTTTAGGGTTTAGGGCCCCCACCCCCCGTGGAGGAAGATAAAATTAAAGGGTTAAGGTTTTAGGGTCCTTCAAGGCTACGATTCTGCTCGGGGTTTGCGGAGGTCGGTAAGGCATACTTAGGATGCCCAAACTCGGTGAGCGCAGGGATGGAGAACGAGTTTCTGACCTTTGAATAGATGCGAAAAGTGGGTGGGGTCTTTGGAAGAGCTCACTTACAAGGGTGCTATAACCCCTTAACCCTAAGCCCTGAACCCCTAACCCCTAAACCCTAAACCCTAAACCCGAAGTACATTAAAAAACAACCCTAAGTACAAGACTGCTATAAGGGTACTCTAATCGCTGTATGGGGCTTCGGGTGCCGTGTTAAAGCAAAGCCTACGAGACCAGGGCTCAGGGTGCTTAAGCTTTATGAGGTGTTAGGGAATTGTATGGGGTTTAGGGTTGAAGGCGTATGGAGTGTAGGATTTGAGGATTGGGTTCGTTGGGTGTGCTTGTATAGTATAGCTTTGAATTCCGTGTGTCTTGCTCGTGAGGAAGGGTTGGTGTACGGCTACTAAAACCCTAGGCTCGACGTAGCCTCTAGGCCGAAATCCTAAACCCTATAAACCCTAAACCCTAAACCCTAAACCTTGTATAGAGTCGATAAGGTGAACCTCTACCAAGCCCCCCCAGGCCCTGCTTCGCGCGGTTCTTGGCCCAAGCTGACTTGTTACACACCTGTTTCCATGCAACGCTTCAGCCAGCCTAGAGGACCTCAGAAGACTCACTGACTCCGATGTCCCACCGTGCAGCACCGTCAATTTTGGATCTTAATGAAAGGGTTTGGGTCTAGGGCCTATAGGGTTTAGGGTTTAGGGTTTAGTGTGTGGGGTTTAGGGTACAGGGTTTAAGTTTAAAGTCTCAGCACGCCAGGGAGGGCCGACTTTCCACCCGTCCAACTTGGCACCACTCAGCTCCGGCAAGTCTGACTATTCCTCCTAGGGTTTAGGGGTCTATGGGGTTTACCCATACTATAACTTTAATAAGGAGCCCACCAAAATAGAATAGGCACTTATTAAGGCCACCCTTAGATCTTAGAAGAACCTCTTGAGTCTTTCAACGCCCTGGGCCAGCAAAGTCTGGTTAGTCGACAGTTCGCTCGCAGCGGGCTTAGCTCCTGTGCATCTGAGCTGCAGGGTTTAGGGTGTAGGGTTTAGTTTAGAGCTTTAAGTTTTTTCGTCCAGGGACGGGTATTGTAGTGGTTTAGGGCCTCAGTGACCCTAAACCCTAAACCCTATTCGGGTTTAGGGCTTAGGATTCGGGGTTTGCAGTTTGCGTTTGGGGGTCAGGTCTTTGCCAAAGCACTTGGCTCCAACCCAAACATCAAGACTCTTTATGCTGAGTGCTATAGGGCCTGAATGTGCCCAGATACGGTATTCCGCGGGGTAGTCTAGTACATCATAGTCGTATAGCTATGTTTGAAGTACAGAACGCTTCCAATCAGTTTAAGTCTAATCAATCAGGTCCCTGTATGTTTCAGACTCAGACATGTACTACCTCCCTCATGCTCTTTTGGGTTTCGGGCTCACTCTCATCTTCCTTTAGCTGCTGCGGAAAGTAGTCCCTAAATCCTAAACCCTAAACCCTAAATCCTAACCCCTAAACCCTCTAGAACCCTAAACCCTAAACCCTAAACTATAGATGAGTATAGGGCCTGCATGATCTGACTTGTGTTCTGGGAGGCTTTGTACCATCACGTATCAGGGAACCGCCAGGAATGTTAATACGAATTGATCAGATGCTTATGCGATTAGTCCCCTCTAGTGTTATAGTCATAGCCACAGTATAATGCAAAATTGCACCAGCATGTTGTTGAAGACTCAGTGGGACCTTGCAGCAATGATCGTTTCAACTTGAGATTCCTTACACGTACTACCACAATGGAGTTACAGTAGTTAGCCTCCAACTAGTCTTTTGGGATGTGACTAGTTCCATGGTAGTAGATTTGTTGTTCGAAGGCTGATGGGTATTGTTGAGTTTAGGGTTTAGGGTTTAGGGCTGTAGGGTTTTAGGGTTTAGGGTTTTAGGGTTGGGGGTTCCTTATAGTATGCCAGGCCTTAAACCGTAAACTCCTAAACTGAAAC